GGTGCTTCGCGGGGACTGCTGCTTTTTGTTTGTATGCCTTCCCAAATCCATGGCTGTAGGTTTAAATTGGATCTGCTGAGGTAGTTTCATGAGCTTCTGAGAACAATTGTTTTGGGCCAATCTGGAACTTAAAAGACATTGCCTTGCCTTCAAACACAAGTCTCCTGCCAACTTTGAGTTTCAGTCCCATTCTTCAAATAAAACCCTCATGGTTTCCACTAAATAAAAGACATTAAATTTACAGTGCATCTACTGCAAGTGCTTCTGGCGCACAAGACAACAATGACTGCTGCATCAGAAGGCAAAGATGGGGCAGCTAGTTAACTGGGATGAAGAGAGAAGTTGAGCTCTTCCATCGAGGTGTTTGTGAACCAAAACCCAAATGATGTGAGCACGGGTATTTGTGGGTTTGATGCTGTTTATGTGCAGTATACTCTGCTAGCCTTGTCAATCATTGCATTCTGAGAGTTGCTTTATACTTTGTGTTGAAATTATCTCCAGTAGTTTGAACATGTAGAGCATTGTTTTATAAAGAAGGTGATGCAATCAGTTTCTCTGCTGCCCGATTAAAAAAGAGATACCCTTTGTTTCTTCAAAAGCAAAGCTGAAAGGGTGTGATTTGAAGCAGTATTTTTTTTTTCCTGCCACCTTTTAACAATTTTAAAGAGATTATAAAACATGGTCAAGCAACCAGATGCATCCTGAAGGGCAAAGAAGCAAACGTGCAACTAATGTGAAGTGTTTCTAGGTTGGCACCTACAAATTAAGCCGTGCCAGCTGATCTGGAGCTCGTCTGCATCCATGGTAACGATCCATAGCTTGTCACAACTCCTTGCCATGAGCCAGCTGGAGCCTAGAACTGTGTTTGGGTGGTTCTGCTTTATTGATGCAGCTCTGATAAAAATATCTTTTCTCCATTTACAGTACAGTTGTTACATGGGGCCTGCTCCGATGTCTTGTTCCCACTACCAAATGTTTCACGCTGCATCCTGGTTGGTAATTCTGGGCAGTCAATCGAGGATTTGATGTGATCATTCACATTAAATATTCTGTCTTTTTATAGGGAGTGAAGAGGGCTGTGATAAACAAAGCCCATTTTGTGATGACAACAGTGAGATTCTACAAGGCATAGGTTACTGACAGTTAGTTAATTATTTGTAATTGAAAGGGAATGAATTTCCAGTATTGCTGGCCAAGACATGTTCTGTGCTAGTGATCCTGAACAGCCTTGGAACTTGGTGTTTGACAGAACTGCTCCATGTATGTGGCGCTTGACATGCAGCGCAGGATCCGACCACATGAGGACTGACGAAATGCAAGTGCATTTAGAGGAAAGGGCTCTAACGGGCAGTACACCTGCTTGCGTCCTCCTGTGCTTCGGGATAGTCTAGGCCAACTTTGGCTGCTGTCTTCATTTTTAAGAAGTGAGCTCTGTGCCCAGCTGCCCAGTGACAGATAAGCTCCTTTCTAGCATAGAAAGTATCACTCTCAAAGCACCTACTACTACAATAGTGGGTATTTACAGGAGGGAATGGCTGGGAAAATTATCCACATGAAATGGGACTTCTGATTTCTCATAAGCAGCTTGTGACTTTATATGGACAAAGCATTCCCACATCTGCTCCTGTCCTGGGGCAAGAGTTGGGTTTCATTGCCTTTTATGGGAAATGTGTAATTTCCTTCTTTTTTTTTTATGTGAAAGATTAGAGTAGAACTCATGCAAAAATCATGAACCCGTGTTTGAAGAAATAAACCAAACCCCACACGCTCAGTTCTCTATCTGCTTTGGGAAGGTGAGGAGAGTGAAGTAGCATTTTTAAATTTCTGTAATGATTAGAACTAAAAGTAAAAATACATATTGTTTCAAGAGTTGAAGCATATGAAAAATGCCAAGCATCATACACTGATGCTTCAGAATCCCTGTACACACTGTTAAAGGCGAAATACTTTGAATTGGAACGGCACCGTGACGAATTGGGGTCTACGGGGATGCTGTTAATGGGCGTTAACAATCAACATCCAGTCTAGAATACGAAGAGCGCGGTGCAGCTGTGAAGCCTCGGTGTGCTGTGCGGGGTGCGTAAGGCTCTGGTGTGCCGCTGAACTCCACAGTAAGTACTCCTGACTTCTTACTGGTTGAGCGAAATGCACAGGTCATGATCCCAATTTAACCAGGCAGGGTTGTTTTTTTTTAACTTTGCTCTTACACCTTTGCTCTTTGTGCCTTTGTGTTACTATAGTTGTAAAACACAACCTTCTGAACGCTGACAGGATCAGGTCAGTAGGCCTTGATAAACTTCTGTTTCTGCTCCTTTACACAAATAAGAATTTCAAGGCACCACTCAGCATGGGAACCCTTGTGTTTGTACACATCTGTCACTTTAACAGACTTACTGGAAAAAGAAAATCAGTCCTTATCTATTTATGTTGAAACTTATTTTTAGAGTTCAGTATATTTTCTAAACAAAAGATGTCTGCCTTAAAGATTTATCTTGCTGTTTTTGAAGAAAGAGGCAGTTAATTTCATACCACTGACTCTCATCTCTTCCAAATCCTCTTTTCTTAGGTACTTTCCTTTCCTATTAGCTTTTCTTCCTGATCCTTATTTTCTTTAGTTCGCTGGTGTCTCTTGGAGTGAGGTAATCTAGATCAGTGACACAGGAAAGAGCATCTTCTTTTGAAGACCGTGTCTGTTTATCAGTGCGAGTTCATCTCCATAAACAACTCTTCAGGAAACAAGATAACAGACAAGGAGCTCATTTTCTGCAGCTGCTTAGATACTGTGGCAATTACAAAAGCCTGTCCACGGAGATGTTACAGTAGATTTTTTTTCTTTTCCTGCGAGAGCCTAGAAATGCCCTTAATTTACTGCCACCTAAAGAGAAGCTCAGTCTCTCAAAAATCTTGCTACAAAATTTTCATGTATGAATCTAAGAGGCAATGAGCGTACTGGATTAATGGATTGTGTAAAAGGTGCAAATTTGTATCCAGGAGGAGGAGATAAGAGAATTTTAATTTCTTAATTATTTGCAATTAATGCATTCTTGTGACTTGTGATTGCCTGTGGGCTTAAGGTGGGTGAAGAAAAAGATGCTGCTACTTGTGTAATTCTGAACGGCTGCTTGAGAAAGGTATTTATGTCGGTATCTCTACCTTTGCGTTATGTACCTGCATAAATTGCTACAGAAACTTAGAGATCAAACATACAAATGTGTGGTCTGTTGCAAGTTATTTGAAATGTGTTTGAAGAATCAGAGCCCAAAAAGCAAAAAGAATTCTCTTCATTGTAGAATAGCTTGAACTGTGAAAACTATTGGTGAAAAGTGTGGTTTGGGACCAGGATCCATTACGGCACTGCCGCACACTGCACTGGCAACAAGTTGCTAGTTGCAGGTACAGCTCTCTTGAATCAAAATGAGCTGCAACATTGTGTAAGTGCATCTACCAGTGACTTCTGCCGCCATAACCAGCCCCATGCCTTCACACACCTTGAGGCACGAGGCTAAAACGTGCTGCTGCTTTGCTTCACGTTCAGAAGCCTGCACAGAAACAAGGCCGTGGTGCTGGCAGTGAGAAGTTAACTGTGCAGAAAAGGCCAATTGCCCAATTATCGGTTAAAGAGTGGGGGAAAAATAACCCAAACTTTCATTCATTTTGTGAGGAGCATGTTCTATTCCAGTTCTCCTAAGCTGCCGTTGGATTTCGCATCACAGGTACGTACCCAGCAGCAGGCCGGGACTTGGAGGTACATCTACCAGCCTGCCGAACTCCTACAGAATCTCAGCAATGAAGGAGACAAGTCACAGAGAGAACGAGAACATCCCTACTGCTTCGTTAGTCCTTGAGATTTGCCTCACAGCTGAGGCACGGAGTAGCAGGGTTTGAGGCGGAATTTGTCGCCAGAGCACACTGGGGTGTCTGATCTTTCTCTCCCCAGCTGCTACGTGTGACTCGGAAAGGAGCTGGAGCTGATGGAAACCACACCTGCATCTTGGGGCTGAAGCAGCATCTTCTCCAAAGGTGCTGAGCAAAAGGCATCTTTTGTTCCCTGGCCCCATGCCCTCTTTGGGCAGATGAAAGCTTTGGTCTCAAGCAGAAGGATAAAGATTTCAGTCCTTGTGCAGTCAGTACATACAATATAGAATCCCAATGGATTACCTAAAAACTGGATATAAAATCTAGAAACCAAGGCATAGTTTGATGGACCAGGATAGAAATTTTAGATCTAAAACCAGCCTGATGTTACACAAATACGGACTTTTTTCTCTGACTCTGAACAATGAAGATGATACCAATTAATACCAAATTATTTATAACATAGGAATGACTGCAAAATTGCATATACTGGATTTATTGAACAATAACCGTTTACCCAACTGCTGGATTTATTGAACAATAACCGTTTACCCAATTTTGGAATTTCACAGTACAATCAAGTTACATGGACTGCTAGCATGCACGCTAGTTCAAGCTTAGTGACACTTCATAATGTGACTGCAATTAAAAAAAAAAACCTCTGCAACCATTCAGAGCAAGAACTCCTGACTTAACACAGCTGAACAGATAGCAACTTCTCTAAATGAAATGTCATATTTAAAATGTTTTACTTTATCAACAAGAAACTACTCTGTGGCATTGCTGCTCTGCATACTGATCAGAAAGGCAACATCATCACTACCTTCATAAAAACTGGAGGAATGCTAACAAACTTATATACATACATCACTTTCAACCCTATGAACAGCACTGAGCAGAAGAAACATACTTTCTCATTTCCCCAGATTTTCTATTAAATAAGGCAATAATAAAAAGCATGGCGTCACAGTAACCTACTGCCAGCTCCAGATACTGAGTCCTGACATAATGCAGTGCTCAAAGAGGAATGTGCAAAAATAAACACTTGGATTTGCACTTTGATTTGTCATTGTGTAAAATTGTTAAAAAAAAAAACCCCAACACACCACCAACAAAGAGCCACAACCCCACAGCTGTTCCAGCCCCCACTGTTGGGAAAAACAAAAGAAAAGCTTCCAGGAGAATCCAAACTGGCAAAGCTGTTCTTTCAGCCCGTGGCACTATTTGGAATATCTTGAGCATCTGCTAAATGTAGTTTCTGGCTGAAGCAAACAGTTAAGGAATAACATTTTCACGTACAGCTGAGGCATACACAAGACAGCAGCGTTACACGGAACTGGGCTTAGTCCTGTGACAGGCATGTGCCGGTCCGGACCAGTTTGGTTCTATTAAGCCCAGTACTAGTTCTCAACATTAATAGTTAATGTTCCTCAATGAGATTCGAGCCTGACATACCTCCAGATTTGGCTGGGGATCAGGGCGGGGCAGACTGATTTTATCACTATTACATGATAGCACTATCACACCCCACTTATGTCCTTTAAGTGTTATGATCCAGTCACTTAGGTATTGGAATAACCTGAAATCCATGCTGTATTACAGTACTAATTTAAAAGAAAGGACGTTATTGAGGCGATTTGACTCCTGTAAAGACACCAGTTACTGGGGAAATATACTGTAATTTGATTACAGTTAATAATTATAATGCAAAATAGACATTTAAGGAAAAGGATACATAGATGAATTCAGTTCTTCTAGCTGTAACATAAATGTAGAAAGTATCAGAAATGGCATTTCAGGTAGTCAAATAAATGCAACAATCATGCAGATGTGATGAAATAAACACATTAAAACAATGAAGGAAATCACTAATAGTCTGGGCTGAAATGCATGATTTTATTACAAAAAGCAAAGGAAACCTGCACTGAATTCTACACCAACAGAGCTAAGTCCCAAATTAAGTTTAAATCTGCTGATCCTGGGAAATTTAAAGAAATTTTAACAGGTTTGGATTTTACGGGAATACACCAGAGAAAGGAGAAACGGGAAGTGTAGCATATACAGTGTGGTCTGCCCCAGTTGTAGGACAGACCACAGGGAAAATGGTGGTAGTTCCCCGGTGTGCTGGCTGTCTCTGAACAGGCCTACGCCCTCGGGCAGTTTCCAGCTAGACTGCTCCGCTCGCCTCAGCACGCAGCAGCCTATAAAAAAAGCAAGCAAGGTGCTGTGTTTTCTCAAACCCAAGACAAGGGCAGGGCTCATGTCTGGGTTCATTACAGAACCACATTCTCCTCAAGCTGTAAATCGCTGCCCACCCAGTAGTGCTGTTTTCCTGAGCTGTGGGCAAAGCCCCATGTGTTCTGCCTTCCCGGTACTCACATCCGACAGCAGCCTATCCAGGTTGGAGTCACTTGCTAGTTTTCTTTTATCTTCAGGGAGTTCTTCCAGCTCCCCATAGAGCTCCAGGTTGAGGCGAGCAAGTTTCTCCTGCATACTCCGCACGTGCTCCATCTGCTCTATGGAACATTCATTTCCTAAAAGGACCAGCAACAGCTTTAGATCAAGAAACCTGAAAGCGCAAAGGAAGGTGTGAAGATGCGGCTTTTTACATCGGAGAAGAGGAATTTAAGCGTCAAATTTACAACTTAATTTGCTTTCTCAGTGATTTCTCCCTGTCTCGCTACTGCAGTTTGTCATCCTGCCTGGTGTTACGTTGTGCTGAACTTACAGTAACTACCAAACGTAGTAACTGGTTTTTAGAATATATGTGGCTTTTTCTATACTCCTGAATTTCACTATGATTTAGCAAGGCCCTGATTTTCAACTTTAAATAGGATCACAATAAACCTTCTTTCTAATTTTGATTAATCGTTGGGGCTTCCTTCTTGTAACTGATGCTTTATATAATACAGACTTTTCAGGTTCTCTTCTAAAATCAGTGCGGAATCAATGTGACACTGAACTTGCAAAAGGACATACGCATCTGTCTTCTCAGTACAGGGGAAAAAAAGGAAGCAAAAGAGCATCATGGACTTTCTGAAACCTCCATCAACTGTGAAGTAGTAAAAATAGTAGGATGCTAAGACAGAAGACTTAAGTTGGGTAAAATGCAACTTGCACTGGATTCAATAAAAGTTGTTACCAATAGTCCAAGGTGTTAATATACAGCAAAATCAGGTGCTAAATACAGTTACTTCTTATTATTCCTACACTGTCATAAATAAGTGGCTTTAAACTTGTTATCTTAAATCCAGAAGGCGAGGACCTGCCTTTGGTAAGCCACGCTGGAAGGAGCAATGAAATGGCATTTGAATCACCATTTAACAATGCGGGAAGATCTACGAGGTGATGTTAAACCTCATTTCACGCAGCAGAGACCAACATGACAAACAGGCAGCCTGTCCATACAGCACAACTGGTTTGCAGATGTTACCATCGTACAGCTATAAAACCAACCCCTGTATACAGACCATTCCTGCACTTACCAAACGCTTGAAGTTTGCCAGAGTGGAAGTCGTTCAGGAGACTCAGAAGTCCCCTTTCCATTTCTTGGACGTCTGACACATCTGTGAGAAAAGAATGCTGGATTGGTGCTGCCTGTGCCCCTTTGGCTTCGCCGCCTGGAGGTTTGGCTTTTTCTTTTATTACACTGAAAAAAAAAAAATAATTAAAACAAAAAGATTACTTCCTACTTCCGCTGAGACTGAAATGTAAGGTAAGCCTACATCTGGGCTTTGAAAACTAAATGGAAAATACGTAAATGCGTATTTCGATCACTCCTTTTAAGTTAAAAATTGGATCACCAGTTTGTCTTAGGAATAAAGAACAATATCGCTATCGTGGCAGTTTGATACCACCAAATGAAGGACTCCAACAATCTGCTTTCCTACTAATAGCGGGAAACATCAGTGGAGGCGTGTATGTAATGGCCACCTTAATAGCCTAAAGAGGACAATGACGCATGGGGCATTATCTACGTGAAATCACCCAAAAAAAAGCATCTGCAAACTCTCTTTAAGCCAGAGAGAAAAACCCTCAGCAATCATACGCTCTTGTTGTCCCAACACCCATAGACTGCAACCAGCGTGGAAAACGACTCGTTATAACCTATACAGGAAGGTGACCTTGCCTCCAGAGGTCCTTCTTCCCACCTTCAAACCACATCCCAGTTTTGTACAACTCCCCATCAAAAGCCATCTCCCAGTACTCTAACACGTACCAGTCCATGCCCAAACGAATGTTAAGTGTGCTAAACATTCTCGACAGCCCCCTCTGCAACAAAACCTTCGAAATTCCTGGATCCACACATGTATCTCTAGACAAAAATCTGTTCTATATGAGCACTATGGGCCCACAGAAACAACACGGATGAAAACGGATCACCATTATAAATCCAGTTAAACATGCAATGGATAGGGAAGCTAAACACCCAGTTACCACTGAGAAGCAGCCCATTCCACCTCTGACCCAGGGGTGGGCGGGCAGCCTGCATCTTCACCTCCCACAGCTCAGGTCAGGGGCCGCTGTCACCCTGCTGTGCCCACCCACGTGAGCCTGCAGCCTTTCTCTCACACTGGCATGGCTGCTTCTGCAGCCTCATGGTGAGTCTGTTCAGAACCTGATTCAGTGAAAAATTCTGAGCCTAAAAATTAAAATTTATGCTATGGGGTGTTAAAAAAAAATCACAGGCTTAGTAAAGAGGCTTTATTTAATTAGTGAAGACAATAGTTTCTACAGTATAGTATGCCTCACCCTTCCCTCGAATACTCCCATGCTCTGCAAGTCACAAATTCTCTCTTTCCTATGGGAAACAATCGTTCTTTTTCCAGCCTAACAGCTTCTATAAACATCATATGGACTATATGGCCTATACGCTGGACTAATAAATGGTCCAACATTTATCACACCTGGTTCAACCTGGAGCAATGTCTCAATTTAGGTTTAACTTTGGCTATTTTTGCTTCAATTTCAGACTTAAAGAAAGGCTTCTATACCAGAAATGTCATAGATTTTTTTCTACCTGTATCTGAAGTTTAATACAATAACCACTCCTGGAAAATTTATTTTATTAGATTCTTGCAAATTAAGTGAAAATGAATTCAATGCTCCTGCTCCACTATCGTAACAGCAGTTCGTCCTCGCATTGCTATGTCAATTACTACTCCTGCTTGGAAAGTTTGAGAAATTGTATTATCACTGCCTGGTAAACTCGACTTAACAATTGAGCAAGAATGTCCTTTTCCAAAACTCACAGCAAAAAGGACATTTTCTTCTCTAGCCAATGTTGTGGGCTGCAAGAAATTAATTTCTAGTACATTTCAGAATAGCGTTAGGACTTAACTGTACAGTCAGCTGCAGAAACCACCAATTTATAGCACATTAGTATTTACTACTGTTTCCCTCAAAATATTAACATGTTTTCCCTGAAAAATACTGCATAGACTTTACATTGCAGAAATTCATTATTCATCAGGTCAATACCGGATCCTTCAAACAGACTGTCTGTGCTAATGACAACAGTTCAGTATTTCATCTTCAGCTAATAGTTACAGGCCAATAAACTCAGCTGCCTCTCTGTAGCTAACATTTCACTTCAAAATCCCTCTTCACTCATTTACCTACTGTACCTGCTATGGCCAGGAAATGTATTTTCTAACATGCAGGAAAATTAACATTCTCAAACTGAAACAGAGGCATGATCCATAACACAAAAGCTATTCCCGAACGGGACTTTCTGAGGAGCGGAATGCGCCTCTCTCTGTGCACAAGTGTGCACCGCTGCCCCCACTGAGAGGTCCCCAAACAGAACCACCCGGAAATTCCAGTCCTAGCTCTT